TGTGATCTCGGCTCACTGCAACCTCTGCTTCTGGGGTTCAAGTGATTCTCCTGCTTCAGCCTCCTGCTTATAGGTGCATGCCACTACCCCCAGCTAGTTTTGTATTTTTAGTAGAGAAGGGGTTTCACCATGTTGGCCAGGCTGGTCTCAAACTCCTGACGTCAGGTGATCCACCTGCCTTGGTCTCCCAAAGTGCTGGAATTACAGGTGTGAGCCACTGCACATAGCTGGAGGTGTAATACCTTCTTTTGTATTAGTAATACTTATTTTATTTTTTAAGCTGGGTTGCCATACACAGGTATTCACTGTATCGATCTTTCTTTCTTTCTTTCCTTCCTTCCTTCCTTCCTTCATTCATTCATTTTGTGACAGGGTCTCACTGTGTCACACAGCCTCCTGAGTAGCTGGGACTACAGGCGTGTGCCACCACATCTGCCTAATTTTTAAATTTTCTGTAGAGATGGGGTCTCACTATGTTGCCCAGGCTGGTCTCAAACTCCTAGGCTCAAGCAATCCTCCATCCTCAGACTCCCAACGTGCTGGGATTACAGATGTGAGACACTGTGCTTGGCCTTCACTATATTACTCTTGACGTAGTTTGTATGCCTTAAGTATGCGCAACAAGCTGGGTATGGTGGCTCATGCCTGTAATGCCAGCACTTTGGGAGGCTGAAGTGGGTGGATCACCTGAGGTTGGGAATTTGAGACCAGCCTGATCAACATGGAGAAATCCCATCTCTACTAAAAATACAAAATTAGCTGGGCATGGTGGCACATGCCTGTAATCCCAGCTACTTGGGAGGCTGAGGCAGGAGAATTGTTTCAAACTGGGAGGCGGAGGTTGCAGTGAGCAAAGATCACGCCATTGCACTCCAGACAGAGCAACAAGAGCAAAACTGCATCTCAAAAAAAAAAAAGGGCGGGGGGGGAAGCACAACAAATCTTAAAAAGAAGAAAATTCCAATGGTAATCTGTTAGAAATAATAATGATGATATTTAAAAGGATATTTAGTCTTTGCAAAATTGTTTTAGAGGTATTCACAATGTAATATCCCCTCCTTCATTCATAATTCATCCATCCGTTAACATTTTATTAAATGTCAGCATGCAAGTCAGTACATTCCAGGTGTCAGTTACCAAAATGGTTTATAAACTGTAAACTAACTGTGAGACTGTAAGCTGAGAATACTTAAGGACTGATGATTCTGTTGTACTGAAGAAACAAACTGGAAGCTAACTTGCGTCAAAAACTTACGAGTCTGGTGACTTTGAGTAGCCACTGCCAAAGAGGCTACGCAGAGAACGGGGTGGTGAGATCTTGGCATCTCGGGAATAGAAGACCATGCACACATCCTTGGTGATGACAGCTGGCTGGATACAATGATCCAGCTGAAAGCAGACAGGGTAGGTGTTGATGAAGGGCAGGCAACGTACTGTGACCAGAGGCTATACACGAACATATTTAAAATGCTAGTCCCAGTTGTGGGAACTGAAGGATTTCAGCTCCACCAATTATTTCTACAGCCACCTAGTGGATAATATGTGCAAGAGTAGGTAGTACTCCTTACAGATGCGTTTATTTTTATCTGAGGTAAGTGTTGTTTCCCTTGTTTGATAGGTAAGGAAACTGAGGCAAAGAGAGTTTCTCCAAGGACATACAGGAAGTAAGTAGCAGCACAGAGATTTGAACTCAAACAGGCTGGCTCCTGGGTCTGGGCTGTTAACCACTATTATTAATACTCTGTCCATAACTACAAAAACAAGAGGTGAAATTTTCTTAAAAATCACATTCTTCAAAGAATGGTGATTAGGCTACTAAAGCTGAAGCTGGAATGAATGTCCTGTAGTTTTTTGAGTAAACAGAACCCAGGAATAGAATCTAATACAATCAGAAGAGTCAGCAAAGTATAATAAAATAAAAAGCTTAAGGATGTGGAGGAAGAAAGAGGACAAAACAAGTGGAATATTTGCTGAGCACTTCCTGCTGTAACCTGCATACCGTTCAGGGCTGGCTGTTCTCATCAACTGAAGTTCCAAGTCTCCTTACCTCTAGGTAGGCCGACAAGGTCATGTAGATCTTTTCTCCATAGGGAGTCACTCGGTTCAGAAGAAGGGAGTTATGCAGAGAGCTGTCCCACACAGCCTCAAAGCGGTAGAAGGTCCTAAAGTCAGAAAGACAAGAGGGAATCATCCAAAACATGCTAAAGTCACCTCAGTCCAGGTAATGCCACTGTCAATCATCCTAAAGAACTCTATCCCAACCGACACTTTCAATTTATCAAACTCTAATAACAGAAAAGAACTCTTATTTCCTAGGAGGAAAAGATAGGTCCCCATCATCTTGCCCCCAACCCCACCCATGATTAAGGAATACTTAGCTGTGCCTTTTTTGTTTTTGAGACGGAATTTTGCTTTGTTGCCTATGCTGGAGTGCAGTGGCGTGATCTCGGATCACTGCAACCTCTGCTTCCCAGGTTCAAGTGATTCTCCTGCCTCAGCCTTCCAAATATCTGGGATTACAGGCGCACACCACCACACCTGACTAATTTTTGCATTTTTAGTAGAGACAGGGTTTCAGCATGTTGCTCAGACTGGTTTTGAACCCCTGACCTCAGGTGATCTGCCCACCTCAGTCTCCCAAAGCGCTGGGATTACAGGTATGAGCCACTGCACCTGGCCAGTTGTGCTTTCTTAAATTTTGTTTTGACAAGCCTGCCTCTGCCTACAAACATAAAAATAGTGAGGTCAACCAAAGGGATTAAGATGAAATGGATAAGTGAGTGTGGACAGAAACTGAAACAGGAAAGAAAGACTAAGTATGCTCCCTTGTTGGTTAATGATGAGAGCAGGAGGTGAACGCTCACTAATTTGTCAGCTTCAATCTTCACATCACAAGAGGGCTAAACATCAATCAATCCAGTGCTGCTGGGCTTCAGAAATGTCACAAATTTATCTGAGGGGATTAATGGTAGAAACTGGGTAGAAGAGTTAAGTATAGAGATCCTTATTTGTTTGTTTGTTTGTTTATTTATTGGGAGTTTCTCTCTTGTTACCCAGGCTGGAGTGCAATGGCGCGATCTCGGCTCACCGCAACCTCCGCCTCCTGGGTTCAGGCAATTCTTCTGCCTCAGCCTCCTGAGTAGCTGGGATTACAGGC